AAATGAACAAGAGAGGAAGAACAAGAAGAGAAAAGAATGTAGCAAAAGGATGGGGGGGGAAACAAAGCAAAATAACGGTGGTAACGGGAGATAAAGAAAAAGAAAGGGTTAGGGTTAACAAAGTAGCAAAGGGTGGGAGGGGGAAAGAAAACAAAATGAACTATATTAACGGGAAATAAAGAAAAAAAAGAAGGGAAAATAATGTAGTAAAGCAAGGGGGAGAAAAATTAAACAAAAAGAACTGTGGTAAGGGAGAGGAAGAAAAAGAAGGGAAAAGAATGTAGCAAAAGGATGGGGGGGGAACAAAGCAAAATAACTGTAGTAATGGGAGAGGAAGAAAAAAAAAGAAAGGAAAAGAATGTAGCAAAGGGACGGGGAGAAAACGAAAAGAAAAAAAACTATAACAAAGTAGGTGGAAGAAAAAAAAAGAGAAAGGCAACTGTAGTAACAGCATCAAGAAAAAGATTTTTTGGAAGCGAAAGATGAAGAGAAAAAAAAGAGAGAAAATTCTGTCTCGGCAGATGAAAAATGCAACATTGAGTGGAAAGAACGATCAGATAAAGTAAAAGAATGCTAAATATTAGGAAGTAGGTGACAGAACATAAATAAAATAAAAACGAACAACTGACAAGGATAATAAATGACAAAATAAACAACAGGAAGAAGAAACAGAATTTAAGAGCAGTACCATAACCATTCCATCAGAAATCAGAGAGCCGAGTTCGAATTCAAGTCGGGTTCATTGCATTCACTTTCGCGTAAATACCTTCCTCACAGACGAAGATGAGATTTGAGGTAACAGAAATGTATTTCTATAGAAGGCTATCAAGAATACCATGGACGGAGCATGTGAGCAATTGGGAAGTTTTGAGAAAAATGGAAACAAAAAGGACATTTGTAATCAGAAAGAGGTATTTGATATTTAGAAGACACATAATAAGGATAGAGGGATTGGAGAATCTGACACTCACAGGATATACTAAAGGCAAGAAGGGAATTTTTATTAACCCACATAATGAATTTGTATAAATGAATGGTAGAACAGGGACTCGGTGGGATAGTAAAGAGACAAACATTACTAAGGAGTACAAAAGGATGGGAAGTCACGGAACGCCACGATCGCCCACGTCCAGAAGAGGCGAAACATATTAAAGAAGGAGTTGAAGCTATGGATTTATTGATATTTCTATGTATGCAGTTTTTTTTTGTTTTTTTTATCAGGTTAGTTTACCAACGTCTGATAAGTGTTTCGAAGTATAGAAAGTATTGATTCTGAAAAAGAAATTTGTTTACGTTAATATTTTCAGATAATTTCTTCTGTTGTTTTTTGTTCCTTTGGAAGTCTATCTTATTTCGATTTCATTTCCTTCACTTCATCTTTTTTTTACTTTCTGACTGATAAAATTTGTAAATTATTTATCTCCAATATTCCCCAACAAGATATTCTCCAGGGAGACGCTCTAGATTCGAAAATATAAACGCACTATCATTGAGTGGCAAATAGATAAAAAAAAATGTCTTATATTTCTGAGATGAGGTATTATAAGTATTTACACTATTTATATCGTTCGAACTGTTACCCTTAACTTTATTGCCATATTCACATTTCGGAAAATGGAAACTGTTATATACCTATGTACCTATGAACACTAATGAGTATGTCTCAGTCATCATAAATACGTTGGACACTATTGTAAGTGGGGGTAATATGCTGTCTATGTCGTCCACCACTAGCAGTGGTTTACCTACTAAACGCCGCTAGCGAGTATTCTATTTTGTTAATGTTATAAAGATTACCATTTCATTTCCAACCTCCATTTTGGTTATTCCTCATTCAGTAACCCTTACTAGGTTACAACAGATCATAATAATAATAATAATAATAATAATAAAAGAAACTGGTATGAACACCACCCAGACCCGGTTACGGAGATAGGATCTGTTACAATTCTATGGGATTACACAATACACACTGACAGAACAATCAAGGCCAACCGGCCAGATATTGTTATTAAAGACCACAAACAAAAACGGTGCCTCCTTATTGATATGGCAGTCCCTGCTGACTGCAATGTATCTTTGAAGATATTCAAAAAGTTGTCAAAGTACAAGGACCTTGAAATAGAAATCTCGAAAATGTGGCATATGGGAACATCAACAATCCCTGTTGTAGTTGGAGCCCTAGGACTGGTTGGTAAAGACTGCAGTAGACTAATTGAAGGGATTCCTGGAAGTCCATGCCTCAAGGAGATACAAAAAATTGTTCTGACAAGTACAGCCCACACCTTACGAAGGGCTTTATCTATGTAATTTAAATTTGTTTTTTTTTTGTCAGTGGAAAGTGTCATGACGCCATTTCTAACCTTAGGTCCATGGGCGGGACCCGGAAAGAAATGTGTAAACGCCAGAAATCAAAGAAAATGATAATAATAATAATAATAATAATAATAAGAAGAAGAAGAAGAAGAAGAAGAAGAATGTTATATAGCGTACCTATGAACACTAATGGATATATCCCAATCCACATAAATACGTTGGACACTATTATAAGTCTGGGTAATATGCTGTCTAAGTAGTCCACCACTAGCAGTGGTTTACCTATTTCACGCCGCTGGCGAGTATTATATTTTGTTGATGTTATAAGGATTGGCATTTCATTTCCAACCTCCGTTTTGGTTATTCCTCATTCAGTAATCCTTTCTAGGTTAGAACAGAAATAAAATGACATACTTAACATCAGAAACAGACAGCTGAAATTTCTAGGGCACATAATGAAGAAAGAGAGCTTAGAAATTTGATACTCACAAGAGAAATTGAAGGGTAATGCGTTTTTTTTCCCTTTTACCCTTTTACCTTCAGTCTGTCCTGTGAGTATCAAATTTCCCAAGACCTCTTTCCTCATTATGCGCCTTAGAAATTTCAACTATCTCTTTCTGATGTTAAGTATGCGTCATTTTTTTCCATTTTCTTCATGGCTGCTCGTATGTTCGGTCCATGGTATTCTCAGCATTCTTCTGTAGTACCACTTTTCTGTTTCTTCAAGTCTATTCTTCATCTATGAATAGACTGTCCAGCATTCGCTATCATATAGGATGACTTATATTACATAAAAGTTCAGTACACTTTTCTTTGTTTCTAATGACTTTTTCTGTCTCTTAATACGCTGCTTAGCTTTTTAAAGGCTTCTTTCGCTATTCCAGTGTCGCATTTCAGTGTCGCATTTTCCGTCCTCTGTTAAAACACTTCACAGATATTTAAATTATTGTAATGTAAGTAAAAAAAATGACGTGAGATAGGCTGAACGTTAACTTATATTACGGGAACAGACCAATCTAAATTTCCTCACAAAAATAGAACAGCCATTTTTTATGAAAGAATATAATTACAAAAGTCCCGTAATAAAAAAAAATGAACACCTCTGATCTGCCAATTATACATCTGTCGCATATTTACAACATCGCCGACTATTAAAACCTAATATTACACTATTATTAAATGTAATGCCACCTGCGGCCTCCCGGTAAATTTGTCTGTCAAATGCGTGAAATTCAAATATTGACTCGTAGTAATTTCTTCACTAAAAGATGTGACGAGGCATCAACTGCCAGAAAGTAGGCGGTGTATCCGTACTGAGTTGTCCAAAACCTTCGTTGTTTTTTGTTTATTTTTGTTTATTTTTTTATTATTTTATTTTTATTTTTATTTTATTTTATTTTTTTTTTTTTGATGGCTGTCATCAGGACTGATTAAATTTAAGTATCTTCATTTTTTAATCTCTTAAAATTGATTTTATTGCAAATTTTGACATATTGGCGTACATTTCTTTTTTTTAATTTTGTTTCCTGGTTCTAATATTGGAGATGAAAAAAATTGATTATGTCTTTTATTTAGAAGGGACTGCTAATGATCAAACGTATCTAAAGTTGTTTGCAAAGTTTCTCCGAAGATTGATAGCGATAAAATCCTGCTATTATTTGAGAATAATCAACATTCTACAATGCGAAAAGTGAGTAACATAGACAAAATATCCAATTCACGTATCTAAAAAAACAGAAATCCCACTGAAACAACAATGAAAGATAGTTATAGTTTATGAAGAAGGGACAGCAAATAATCGAACATGTCAAAAGTGGTTTGTAGGTTCCTGCAGATTTCTCTCCGAAGTTTATCAAATTCTGATATTATTTGATATTATTCTCAAATAGTCAACGTTCTACAATGCTGGAGATGAGTAACATGGTCAAAATATCCAATTCAAGTATTAAAAATCATCTGCCCACTTTAGTTGTGTGTGTAAGATGATTTGAAATTATCTATTGATAAAAATAAAATAAAAACAATATGCTGCATAAAAAACGATGTAAACTTAACTTTATGTGAGAAATGGTCCGAACTATAGAGGATTACACGCATGAATCTTTGTTTTGGCTGGAAAATATGAAGCGGTAAGGATTTTCTTTTTACTCACCTGTAAATAGAGAAAGAAAAACACTAATAACTTACAGGAACATGTAAACAATATATAATAATAATAGCAAAATAATAGCAATTAAAACAAATCAATAATTAAAAGTTTTTATTCACAAACCAAACTTTCGTACCAGACTCTTTATTATTAGTATTTCTTGATCACTAGTAAAACTAGTGATCAAAGAACAGCAATAATGAAAGATGCATTGATCTAGAGTATTGTGATAAAAATTTATTAATGATAAGATGTTGTAAAAATATTAATATCATCGAAGAGGTAATGGTTGACCGTTACTATTGATTAGAGTGAGTTCGATTCTCACTGGTTGCTCAATACAAAAACTGACATTAAATCACAAGAGTTGACATAATTTAAATACGGACTAATATCTTCATCTTTGTTGTTAGCATCAAAAAGTTTTCCATATCGATTAAAAACATTGGTTTGTGGATTAGTACTAGATTAATCGTGAGTTCAATCCCTGGAACGAGTAGTACAGACTTACTTTGAAAAACAGGGTAAGCAATAATAAAAAGAACAAACCGATGCATCACTAGATATGAACAGCGGAACGAGAACAATCTATCATCGTGAATTAAATAAAAGGGGAATACCAATACTGTAAGCGTGAATGTGCGGGTGGTGTAATGAATAAGGACACGTCGGAGAGACGAGTTTCAATTCCTGTTGGGTTCGTTATATTCACTTACGCGAAAATACCCTTAGGAAATGTATGACTCCACCTCAGCTATGAGTTAATTAGTAAAACCTGTATTACTAAAGCCATTATTAGAAAAAAAAGTCTTAAAATCAATAAAATATTTTGGGGCTTTAAATAACCTGAAAGGGGTTGATAAGCCATAGAAAATGAATGAATCAATTAGATAAAAGGTTCAATTCGAAATCCCATGAAGTATACCCAGATCGGCTGACACCTAAGGAAGACCGAAGGCACAACGGCTGAAAAGTTGTGATAATAATAAGAACGGTGAGGACATTCATGTAAATAATGTAACTAATAACTCCTAATTCTAGAAATTCAGACAGAAAAGGGCTGACATATCATAACCCCAGCCAACCAAACGAAAAGTACTAAAATGATGTCAATAACAAAGAGTACATTGGTCTGATGTATTGTCATGGAAAGATAAGAGTAAAACTAGTAATAACAGTGAAAATACTTGCTGTAGTGGCTGGAGTAAACAACAATAAAGTTAGTAACTACTAAATAGAGTAATAAAAATATATTGACCACGATCACCGTGATAAAAGTAAACAATAATTTAAGAAGGAATCACAAAAACAAAGCTTGATTGAAAGAATTTCTAAATAAATATTCTGATCTGAAGTCGAAACATATTTATTTTCATCGAATGCTATAGACATTTATGATTCATAAAATTGGATCACTAGATAACTCCTCCATGGCGTTAGCGATCATGACTTTTCATAACTTCCTGTCAAGCTCGTCTCAGTTACAAGTACGACTATCGTGAGTTGGATCCTCGCGGGGTATCTCATAACCGTAGGAAATGCAAAGTTAGGGTTAGTATATATCTGTGACTCGTTGTGGAGGACTGGATAAAAAATATACCGTTGCGTACATTTATTACTACGATCGATCTCCTCTGGGTGCCCGACACTAGTGAAGAGACATGACATTTAGTTAATGGATATGTGGGTAGTGTAATGTTTTTCAGTTCGAAAAGTGGAGTCGGTGAACTGAGTTCAAATTCTAACCGAGTCTGTTATGTTTACTTCTTACTAATGCTCGCTTCACTCCCCGTCTCAGGTTTAGGATTAATAGGAGAGCAAACTAGGATCTTGAGGCTATGGTCGTAGCCAGTCTAGGAGAAGGATAAATCTGAGTTCAAAACCATCGAAAAGTTAACAAATTAATTGCGTTATCTTTCCCAATTCAGTCAGTTATATGCCATGCGTGATCATAGGCGATCATGTATCTTTCGATATATGACTGACGAGGCAGTTTTTTCCCGCAGTAGGTTGCCATTTCTTTCCGCTGTAGACGAGTTGTCATCCAAGGCTATAGAACTCGGTCTGTTCTGTTCTGTTCTGTTACCCATAGCAGGAGGGAGAAGAAGAGGATTCATACTTTTACCCAGGCTATGTAATGTAATGGATACGACTGAAATTCGAACCCGGCTCTACGATTTCTCAATCCGAGCCGTCATCCATTATTCCAACGCGCTTCCTCCATTACTCCACCGTGCAGTTTTCCAATTCACAAATACGAAAAGAAGTTGTGGAGAGTCATGAATACTTACGTGCTAAAGTGCATTTAAGATGATGAAGAAATGGATAGAAAATGAAGTGATAATAGAAATGTTTAAATTAATTTTTTCATACAGGAAACCTCCGTCATTTACTGACTGGACAGTTAGTGTTGAAATGTATAAAAATCTTATTAAAATAGTTTTTCAGGAAATTAAACTAAATGTTGTAGCACTTTCAAGTATTCATGGAAGTTTCCGAACACACCTTTTAGTAGTGGAGAAAGTTAATAGTTTCATTATATTAATAATAAGTTAATAGTTTCATTATATTAATAATAATAGCTTCATTATATTATTATATTCATTATAATTATATTTTCTACTCTATTTACATACTTTTGTTACTCTTACTACTAAATTTAGTGATTGCTGTGTTTTTTACGGCTTATCAACTTTTGCAGGATATTTAAAGCTAGATAATAATTTTAAACTGTATGACTTTTGGAAATAATAATAATAATTTCTCAATACAAGTCCTACTACTTAACCCACAGATGGAGAGAGAAAAGGTGGATTCATACCTTTCCCGAGGGTAAATGCGCGTAAGTGTATATAACGAACCCGACTGGAAATGAAACTTGGCTCTCCGATTTCCAGTTCCGTGCCATTATCCATTATACCACCCGCACATCCAAGCTTACATTACCTGATATTCCCAAGTGGTCACCCATCTAGGTACTGACTACGCTCGACGTTGCTTATCTTAGGTGATCGTACGAGGACTGGAGTTTCAACGTGATAAGCCGTAACTGCTGGAAGTGTTCAAATGAAGTGTTTTGTTTTTTTTTGTTATTTGGTTGGGCTCTTCGTTTTTGATTTTGATTTATAGAATATAGGAGTTCGTTTGAAGGCATTTTAATAATTAATCTGAGAACGATAACTTCGTGATTTCTGAATGCGAAGAGTTAAAAGGCTGGAAACCGAAAACCTTAAAAAGAACCCCAAGTTTGTATGAATGCGAGGCTTCGAATTCTTAGTGTGATTTTTTTCCTAATTCTTTAATTGTTGTGCAGTTAATTATGTGTAGTAAAACAACGTTAAGATTGTGCCTCGAACTGACATCAGATCTCATGTGGGACTCTCATTTACGATACATCGCTAAAGAAGCAGATAAAATTATCAGCTCTCTGTGCCACTCCAGTAAGTACCTGACTCCTTATGCTAACTTCTACCTTTATAAGAGGTACATCAGGCCAAAAATGGAGTAATGTTGCCATATTTCGGAGTGAGCTGCCCAGTCAGCACTTTCCAGTCTTGATAAAGTTCAAACAGGTCTCCGAGTTCTTGTTGGAGAAGAATTATTTTCCACCCTCCAAACTATCTGTTATAGTGGAACACACCTATTCTATAGTTAATAGACTCTCCCACCTATAATAAGTAGGAGTAGTAAGAGTAACGAGAAATTGCCCAGTGAGTTCAGTCTGAAGTCGGACGACCGGCTGACCGGCTGATCGGTTGAACTCTCTGCCTTCGGGCGGGGAGGAACCCAAACGAGGCTACGCGGAAGGGTGGAGTCTCGTTCGGGGAGGTAAACCGACCCTGAACCCGTTTATACGGGTTTCAAAAGGGCATATTTTTAGCCGAGCCCACGGGCTCGGAGATCCCACGGGCTCGGAGATCCCACGTTAAACCGGCCTTGTGCCACATGATGCCCTCGTGGGGGGGGGTGACTGAATATCGCTCAGTGAGTTGTTCAGTCAGTCGAATCCGGACGACCGTTAGTCGGATATTAAAGTATCAGCCACCACCACTAGATTTCTCTGTGTCATTACCTATTATATCAAAGTTCCTAACGTTTTGTACGTCGAACCTATTTTAGGACCGACTTTGTACAAATACCAGCCTCCACTGTGAAACCACTCCATAACACTATCTCTCATAAGTGGATGTAGTGAGTCTCTCACTGCTCTATCGCTACTTCCATGGAAAGTGCTCGGACGAACTACATTCCTTGCTTCCTCCAGGTCTAATCTTCACGGTTAGGACCCGCCATGGCACTTACATTGTAGCAAAACACCCACATTCCCTCCGTATTCCATAGACGAGAATTAAGTTCTAATCGAACAGCTTCTTCCCACGAACAACGTCCCTGTGGAACAGACTCCGAAGAGAATGTTTCCCCGATTACTATAATCTTAATCTTTTCATGTCCAAAGTTAACCGTTATCATCACCTCTTATCCATATAAATTTACCGATTAACGTAACCCTCTACCTTGAGTGGCCACCGGGCCTTGTACAGGGTGAACCTTACTGTAAAAAAAAAAAAAAAAAATGAATCTTCGAAATGTATTACTCTCCTCTAAGAATTGGGTTCCTCAATCTGGGGATGCCAACTTTCATCAGATTTTTAAGAATAGTGGCTTTTCTTGCGAAGCTCTTGTTCGTAAAGTTAACACGATATATACAGAAGAAAAACAATAAGTCATTGATATAAACCCACAAAGTTAATGCGCTCACCATCTCGTTATTATAGAAAAAAAAAGACCTTTTCTTTCGTGGTTCAAATTTATTTTTTCTCTTTCATAGAAGAATACATATGTGCCACGAAATTTTCACGATTTATTCGAATTACACTAAATATGAAGAAAGGTTCGTGGAAGAGTGAGGGTACATCATCTCAGAATTTCAGACAGAATTAGAAAGACGGAGAGCACATCGGCCGATACGTTATGATCAAGTAACAAAGATGAGGAGCTCGAATACATTTTTAACGATATTTTATCATCGAATTTCAGACAACAAAGAGAACGGTAAACATATCGATTGAAACATGGTGAGAAAACAAAGATGAGGATATTAGTTTAATTTATCACAGTACTTCAAAGATTGAAACTTTGAGCTTAAACCGTAACGCTGAATATCTCAATCAGTGGAGTTAATCGTCTGGATCAATGACCGAAGCGAATCCGATATGGTTGGATTACAATCCGTAAAGCGGTGTGATCTATGTACGGTGCTGATTTTGCTGCTAAGATCATCACTTCACAGAAAAGATTTACGATATTGTGTCGTTTGTTACGCCAGGCTTTCATCTTGAGCTCCAGTGTCTACTGCGTTAATTGGTAGAGGACGTGACTAAGACACGCATATTGGCACGTCGTCCAATAAGCACTCAACTAGAAATCATATAATCTTGCTGTACGAAAATCCAAGAAAAGAATAAATCATACACACAAGGTGGGAGCCTGGAATATTCTTGTTTAGACCAACTTCACAAAATCTGAATATATGACCAAAGCATTAGAATAGATGCCCTTTAACCTTGAACTTATCAGTCCTCCCTCAACCTCAGATAGATAGATAGATAGATAGATAGATAGATAGATAGATAGATAGATTAGAACATATCGAGAGAGAGAGAGAGAGAGAGATAAATAGACATGAATAAATTAATTTCCATATTTATTTATCTATATATATATATAAAAGGGAAAAAGATCAACCAATCTATTAATGGATCATAAAACTTTTAAGGCTAGCAATCTTCGAAGGCATGAAAATAAAGCAGTAATAAGATTTTACTATTAAGCCCACTGACAAGAGGACATAATATTCGTGAAACTCAGAATAGGGAAAGATAATTTTTTTTTGTTACTATATGTATGTATGTAGGTATGTATGTATGTCTCTCTCACTCTCTTTATATATATATATATATATATATATATATATATATATATATATATATATATATATATAAACAAATCAGCACCTGATGATTAAAAACCTCAATCAGCACCTGACGAATGCTTCGTGCATGAAACTTGTGATAACGGTGAGAAAAAATGTATATTTATTATTAATATAAATTATAACTCTCTTATTAAATATCAAGCACTATTTTATTAAACCCACCATTCAATGTGCAAAATTATATATATATATATATATATATATATATATATATATATATATATATATATATATATATTAACTAATTTAAAAATATGGTTTCATCGCTACACAGGAATTACCATGTTTCAGAAACAGAAACTAGAAATTTCAAATTCAATTACAGAATTAAATTAAAGCCCCCTAGTCCTGTTTCATTTTCAAGTGAATTTTGGAATAACTTATTTTGAAATTTACTGAGTTTTTTAAGCCATACATTCATAATATTAGTTTCTAAGGATATGGGAAAATCCAATCATTTTAACAAGGGGTGGTAGGGTATTCATTTTCACTGACAACTATTGTATCAAAATATGAGTTACTTTCAAAAAGAGGTTAAGTTAAGGTCGCATGTCGTCTGGTCTTTATCAACAGCAAAAAGTTTTCGGAACTTTTGTTTCGCCGGATTATATATCTTACTGTTCTTTCTCTTATTTTATAATATACATTTATACATTGGCTCCTAATTAAAATTGAGCACTCTTAATCTTTATTTTTAACAATTAAAAAAATATGGAAAAAATAAATTTCGGAATTTCTCTGAAGAACACTCCTAATACCAATACAATAGGGAATTATTTCGTTATAGTAATGCAAAAAACTGAGGAACTCATACAAAGGATGAGATGGAAAGCATCTCATTTTAACATATATTTATCAAAAATGTGGCTGGTTGTACACAAGCCTTCACCACCCTAAACAAATCTTCTGTGTGGGTGGTCTATAGTTCAGTTCTGCGTTCCATCTCTGCTTTTCCACCTGGGCAACAAGTCCACTTGCAAGAGAATTAAGGAAAAAAAATATATTTGCAATACTTTTAACTGCCAAATTTTCCAGTCTTCAAATACCCCAAACTTTTAAGTATTTATTCTCTCTTCTGGCTTTTATTATCTCGATTTCTCATCACATCGATTTAGATATTTATTCGGATAAATAACGCAAAAATAATGTTTGAATTAATCAGGAAACAGTAATGTTTAAACACAGTTTAGAAACTTATCGTTATTAATATCCAATATATACAAGAAGCACACAGATGCAATACAAATTTGATTCGTAATTATGAGAAAATAACTGGATCGATTTGCTCTACGTTTGAAAGAAATAGAAAGAGAAAATATGAATTTAAATTATGATCGCCATTAAATGCTCAGGAAAATGTCGCAAAATTGCTTAATGAGAAGCCCAAAAGAAATGAGGTATTCAAATGATAAAACCAAAACACAGCGTTTTGATATGATAAAAATGGAAAAAATATCATAGCTCTGAGGAATCTTTCCGTCTTTTTTCTATCCGCTGAATCTCTTCAGTCCGTGAATAATCATTGCGCTTCACAACTTTCTGCTATTTTTTTTTTTTTTTTGACATTTTAAAGTTGCTCTATCATTGATAGCTTTAGGATGTTGTAATTTAAATTTAGTTTAATTAAGCAGTAATTGTTCTTTTAAACATGTTTTAGGGAAAAGTATACTGTTACGTAATATCAGTGCTCCTATATGGCAGTGAATGCTAAACAATCCCCTCACAGATGAAGAAGAGACTTGAAGGAACAGTAATGTGATTCTGCATAAGTATGCTGTGAACAAAATGAACAGAACATGTGAGCAATGACGAAGTTTTAGAGAAAATAGAAACAAAAAGGACACTTAACATTAACACCAGAAAAAGACAGTTGAAATTTCTAGGGCACATAATGAGGAAAGAAGGCTTGGAAAATCTGATACCAACAACACAGATTGAAGGCAAGAGTAAAACAACGCATAACATACTTAGGGAGCTTGAGTAAACGGATGGCAGAACAGGGTTTAAAAAAAAAAGAAAGAAAAAAATTACAAATGACAG